ATTCACTTGCTAATTATTCCTAAATACATAAATAAGTTGGCCGATATCTTTAATAAATATTCCTCAAGGTTAAGGGACTCTGAGTATGTCTAATGATGTTTTAGCAAGTAATATTTCACTCACATCTAAAATCAAGTAAAGGACATTTCCATTTCTTCAGGCTGTGGAGCTTAATCAGTTAAGATCTATGAGTTTTTGCTTTTTAGGGGAAAAGGAAGGGGGAGTTGAGCAGTACCTTGGGAGAGCGGTCATGGATTATTATACCAACATCCTCAACTATAAATCTACACAGTACTTTGCCTGAATTTATACACAACAAATTGCTATACACTCATATACTCATATGATTCCATTTCATGTTGCTTCAGGTTAAACAAGCCACACTTTCATGTGTTTGAATACAATTCCCATGGCTGTAGTTTTTACAGTACATTTATGCATAGCCTAAATCACTCCTGTGCATAAAGATTTATGGAAAATAAGGGTGTTGGAGATAAATAATAATACACCTTTCCTTTCTTTTTCTTAGAGCACACCGGTTTTCACCTTCCAATACAACATTAAAAAAAAATCCACATTGCCATTCATTCTCCACAAAAATTACCTTTTTAATAGAGCTAAAAGAAAGAAAAAACACTACTGAAAATGGATTCTGATGAATTATTATATAGAAATTCTTCTCTAGACAACTGTGGTAATGTATGGGAAAATGTGTGTGTGTAGAAGGTTGTTAAAGGAAAGGGAAAATCATCCTTCCAATGACTTGTATAGAAGCCGTTGATTTCTTCTTCATTTTCAATCTGCCATTAAGTTTCAAAAAAAGTGTACCACTTAAGTGGGAAGGGACAACACGATATTTATTTCTAGCATTTCTGCATTTGTTTTGCTTATTTTTAACACTATGCTATAAGCACAAGTCCAAGCTTGGCATGCAGTCTAAATTTGGTCAGTAGAGGCAGGCACTCTAAGTCAGACTTCCGTTGGCCCTACACAAATTCTTGAAATCACAGTATAAGGAGAATCTATTCTCTGCTAACATATTCAAACACCATCATCCATAACAAAACAATTTATGCAACTGAGTGGACGTGTCAGGTGCCAGGATCAGTAGAAGGAAAGGGGTGGCTGTGCTCTTTTGTCACCATCGGTTCAAAATAAAAGTAGACAAGGCAAATAAAAGATATACCATAAGACCCAGTATATGAACTCTACCAGTGATCCAGAAAGTGCTGTCGTCATCTCAACACAGCAGCAGAGAAGAACATTAGGACTTATAGCTGATATGGAACTAATCTGTACCCTATTACTCTGAATAGCTGTAAATATTGAGAAGCCTTTGACCACTGTGTAAATGATGGATGCTAAAGCAGGGAACCAGTCATCCTGCCTCCATACGCTTTGCGCAAGGACATCTGTACGTATGAGGCAAGGTTCTGCTCATGCCTGCAAAACCAAAGAAACTATCACAGTACCACTATACTTGCCTTTCTGTATTTGTGGCAGTGGTCCATGCCCTCTGCTCCTGTCCAGCTGTCCAGTCAACAATACAGAAATGCACCAAGGGTCAATAAACTAAACCATATCTGCCCTACTGGCAAGTAACCTACAGCTTTTGCTGCATTGTGCCAAGTTCCTTTCATTGCAAGATTTGCTCTGGAGAGTGACAATGACAAATTGATGCTACATGTTAGCAGTACTGAACACTTTTTGATCACCCATCCTTATTTCCTGAGATTATTCACTGAGGATATTGATTTATAATTATAATAATTATTATTTTGTAAATAGATATGACTGGAAAACAGATTAAACATTCAAAGGTTTCTGGGCCTAAAATATATAAAACTGAAAAGATAAACATCAATGTTAAATGGGTTTCCATTGTGAATCTATGTAATTATAGACTCGTCTTTACTTAACAGATGTGCTTCTTGTGTAAATGTCAACTCTCAAAGCCAGAAAGACCCTTACTATACAATTTCATTAGCTCCCTAATTTAATGAATTTACTACTTTCTCATAAGGTTCACAATCTGTAGCAATATCTGGATTCTTGGGTCTCTCGTGTTTAAAATTTTCTGTCACCTGCCTTTAATGATCCTTCTGATGGTGATGCCATTATGTAATCCATGCCTTTATAATCTTATAATTAGGCAATGGATGCATTATACATGTTTCAAGGTAAAGTAGAATGTTTCATAAGTGAATAGCAGCACAGTTTTCACATTTATGCCCTGTATAGCACCAATTCTGTTGTCTACTGAGTTCATGACATTATTCTGGTCTAGAGACATCCAGGTGATTTCTGGACCTTGTAACCTGAAAGGCTGGTTATGTCTTCCCAGATCTGCAAAGACACCTGATTCAGAGACAACTTGATTTAAAAGGAAAGAAACTGCATCTAAGTCACATTTTGTAAGGTTTCAGAGCTCTCCTCCTGGACACGAATTCTGTGATTTTTCTGTTCACGTTAGATTTATTTTGGAAGGGACTGGCAGAACTTGAGAACAAAAGAAAAGTAATAAGTGGACAGCATCCCATGACTACAGAAAAAAGAGGGCCTAGCAGTCATACAAGCATTTTCAGAGAGGGGACACCTCCTCTTTGTTACCAAATCTGCTGCATAGTTCCTCTGTGGTGCTGAACAAGTCTTTCTCACAACCTCAACTCTGGGTCTGGAAGATGAAGACAGCAGCACTTCCCTTTTTTTTGAGGGCGCAAACAATGCACTGAAATCAATAATGGGTACACAGCTGCATGTTGGGATGAGAAGTTACTGTGGGTCATGACTGCAGTTAAGTAATGAGCGAAATATAAAAACAAACTAAGAAATAACTTTCCTTCCCCAAAAATCCATTTTGGAGTGTGCATTATATGAATGCTCTATTTGGAAGCAGAGTTTTATACACTAAATTATTGGGATTTTATTTGCATTGGAAGCATTTTATATTGCAGTTACTTCACTTAAGATTTTCATGTTTCTTTTCCTCTTAACCTTCCAGCCAGAAGCTTCTGCTTAAAATCTTTCAAAGGTGGAAAGTCGAACATTGTACTTCACTGCTTGCTAGAGAATGACTGCTAAGGGCACTAGCTTTCATCTTCCTTAGTTTCTTTATTTGCCAAGCTATGTGCAAGCAATTTTACTTCATCTGTTATTATTGATATAACACAGGATGGGTGCAGTTTTTTCATAGTCCCTCCAGTTCTTTAGATTATTATCTCAGGTAATAGATTTACCTTCACATCACCATATACAAGAAGGATAAAACATTAGCGCCTCCAATTAAACTGAATATTATCCCTTTTGTTTTTTCCTTTCATAGCAGAAGGGGCATTTTCAACAGCTACCTTCTATGAGCAACAATTTTTGAAAGATCTTAAAGACATCTTTGTACCCAATTTTTATTTTATTTCATTTTTTGCACCCAGTTTTATTTTAGTTTTTAACCACTATGATTTAGTGACTCATATACATTCTCAAAGCATTGTTTCTGGGTGTCAAGAGCAGATTGCTTACACCAATTTGAATCTCACAATATAAATGAACACAGAACAGGACAAAATGAAGTACAAGTTACCTGGTAGTTCTAAATAAGCTCTCAAGCGCACTCCCATTGCCTAATTTTACATTGGTGCTTGTGAGCATTCTTTCTAGTGACTTCTGTGGGAGCCGTAAGTAAACCTTTCTAATAGACAACTTAGTAAAGTTGAACATAATTTTTTCTAGTAGACTACATACAATATGCATTTTCACTCAAGTCTGTAAACTCATTCCTTTGTTGAGGAGCACTTCCATTCTTAAAAAAAAAAATATCTCTAATGCATTACTCTTCCTCAAAACGGTGGAACAGAACTGCAAAAGGATGAATTTCTGCTCTGGTCATGCAGTAGCTTTAAAATTCTGCCTTAAGAACTCCCCTAAATGAATTCTTATCCATTCTTATCCTGCATTAGTAACTGACTGACTTTCCTTACACTCCATTAGAGGAGTACACACATTTTATGCTACATTAAAATATTATGTTAAGATGACAATAAAAATCAACAATACAAAAACTAAGACCAATCTAGAGCATTTCAGGAAAAAAAAAAATCAGCACCACCAAAAAGCTACCTTGAAACTATGTAAGAAATTAATCATTTTCTACGAATGGTGTACAAAATCTGATCCAACAAAACACACAAATCTATGATTAAAGACATCCTAATGGTAGGTCTCAAAGTTACTTCATCAACACTTGAATTTGAAAAAAACAGATAAAGAATGAGTGCCACAAAGAAGAATTAAAAGGAAAAAGAAAAGTTTATTTGGTTTTCTTTGAGGCTTAAGAACTTTGTGAATTTTTCCTTGAACTCATTAAAACATGACTCGGTTTTCAACTGCAATAACCTTTCAATCTTCCATCCGCAAATGCTTGCCCAGTACTGAAAGAACCATTTACTTTCTGCTTCACCCACCCTGCAAGATTTTCTGCACAGCATTGATGGGTAGAGGACCATAGCCTTACCACTCCTCAAGCATTTATAAAGATCTACTGCAACACTTTGATTGCCTGTGTTAAGTCATTGTCAATGAAGAAATACACAACTTGTCTTAAGAAAGTTAGCCTTTGTCCAGTGTAGTTTTGCAATCATTTATATTCTATACGAAAACAACTTTTGTTATTGCTGTGTTGCTATATTTTTTAGACATAGAAAACTTGTACAGCAACTCTTTCTGCTCATTTTTACAAATGCTCCCACTTTTCCTCAGCTATGCTTTCAATACAATGGACAGAATGGCCTTTAAGAAAAAAAAAAACAAACCTTTCTTCAGCTTCAATAAAAAGGGTACTTGCAATTAGATGCTACAGGAGACAGACCATTCTCCCCATCACTGCAGCTCCTCTGCACAACTTACTCCCTGATGTTTGTGTTTAAGAAACAAAAGCAAGAAACAGAGATGGTGCAGATGGGCTAACGCTAAAAAGCTGACCTATATGTCACCCCACCCCTTCTTACCCAGATCCATGCTTTTTGAGGCTTTCAGATTAATTGATTCAGACTGCTTGGCTGGTGTCAAAGATCTGAAGTTGATGTGCTGATCTGTTAAATGCACTGCTGAATTTATGATAGGGCTGCAGGAAAAAAAAAAAAAAGACGTAAAATATTTAGGCACCAATTCAAAACACAAGTGAACCAATTAAACCATGCACAAATATACATGTGTTTCTTCCTCCAGTTGCTTACAGCCATGCATTTTAAAATCAGTTATTGATCCTCAACTTTCTTTTCTGAGACTTGACACCACCAGTCACTTGTTTTTCATCACGGATACAAATATAAATGTAAATGCGTAGTGATAATTGCTTTTAAACAATTCATATTTTACTTAGCAGAAGAACAGAGGAACATACCAGTACCTGCTAATTTTTTTTTTTTTTCCAATTTGCTAGTTATATTTAACCACTGCATTTCCAAAGAACATGCTACAGAAAGCTGGAAAAATACTGCCAACGTACCTGGCTCAATTCTACTTCATCTGCTAATATAAAGTTATTTTACAGCCTTGCAACACTTCTGCAGAGGCTGGAGCCTGGAGGTCTTACGGAGGATGCCATAACAGTCTGAAGAATTCCAAGATATCGTGGTTTGGTTTTTGTTCTTGAATTATTTTACTTCAAGTTAGGTGAATATCTAAACGTTTCAAAATTCCACCTGAGTGAAAGTCAAAGTAACTTTCACCTGTGAGGAGTCAAAACACCTCACTGTAATGCATCTGAAATCTTCCATGTCTCTCTTCAATTAGAGACACAAATTTATGTATATATTTTTAAATACTCTAAAACCAAAAAACAGTTCCAAAATTAAAAACATTTATTTCCAAACTGTTCAATCAAAAGGTTTGGTTTTACAGTGTCAAACACTTTCCCCAGTTTTTTGCTGAAACACAGTTTCGGTGAAATCAGCGTGACTTGACACAGCAATTCAATGTCAACAGAACTTAAGTTCCAAATGGAAAACGAATACAACTCTGGAAAAAAGTCAGGGTGGGAGAAAGGGCCTGTAAATTCATCATCATTTTAATACATCATTATCGTTTAAGACAATATTTTTGCTCCCAGCTTGTTGAAAAATTAGGAACAGATTCTAGCAAATAACTGCAGTTGAGAATTTAATGCAGAGTTCCGTTAGTCTATGTAGACTTTTGTTCATTTACCACATCATACATACCTGCCTAGGAGACCAGAAATTATGAAATTACTCTAGTGAAATTACTCTATGTTAGCAAACAGAAAATAGTTACAAGAGTCTTCATTGTACAAAGAATTCAAGGTACCCATAATAAAATATATCTACTCTTCGACACTATGTGCAACAGTCATTTGAAGGGTAGTTTTTAATCATGTCCATGCACACAAGGACAGAAGTATGGCTAAGTTTTTAGTTGAAATGCATACTTTCCTAATATCACTGCAATAAAACAGTTGCATGACTGTCAAAATTGAATACACACAAAATGAGTAAACAGTGTTCAACATTGAATTTTCAGCATCAGATGTACGATAGGTTGAAATGATGCTTTGATTTGAATCCTGTGCTACTTAAGACAGACAAAGTATATGCTATCACGAACGCCAACGTGTTTACACTTTTTTCTGCGCTTCCAAACTTCCGTATTTACTAAGGAAATTAAAGCTTGTAGCTGCCATCAAGCACACCAGCCTTTACAAAAGGTATTCTTAAAATATCTGAAAAATCTACCCAATGCATTTACAACTGGTAAAGTGTCCATTAATTTTTCCCCTACACATTTCAACGTTCAAACGTACTAAATCTTCATTTTGTAACCTCAAGAATGTCTGTGGCTGACATGCTGCATAAGAAGATTCAGTTTCCTACAAACTGAATTTGGCTAGAGTTTTTAAAGCTTTAAGAGACTTCAGGCACTGCATCTACACATAGCACCCATTGGTATAAGTTTTAAATTCACTTTTTTTTAAAATTGGGATTATGTTTTGGGATTCTTTTTGTTTTACTGAACATATGCTGAGTATTGTGATCCATATATCATGGATAGCCAGCATAGTTCAGCTTATGAACAACTGAAATGAACAATGCACTAAATGCTAAAATAACATTCCCAGCTTATATTAAAGGATCTAAAAACGGTGGTACAAATTTTTACAAAATAAAAAGTTATTTTAAAATCAATTAGAACTGCTATTGCAACCATTAATGAGCAATTAGGGCTGTAACTATTAAGAATAGCCAAAGTCCAACCTATGGTTATAATCCTCATTCAGCAGATCCTCACTGGGATGCGGTGGGAGAGGTGGAGGGGTTTCATTTTCACCATTGCCACGATCAGACACTGGCAACTCTGAAATAAAATTTAAAAAGGGGTTAAATAAGCTGCAGAAACAAGTACATTACACCAGTTCACTGATCAATGACTGGACTGGAAGGCCTCAAGCAATGCTGAAGTGAGTCACAAATTATTCAAATCCCTAAATTAACTAAACTAGAATTAAAATCACACCAAGCAGAAAATATACCCCTTGGGATTTCCTGAAGAGCTGATTTTCAAATTTGCATGTGCATAATTAAAGATAAATACAGGGAAACTTTGTGCTTATAGTGAAGTTGAGTGCAAGGCACAAATTGCTTTACTCCATTTGAGTGGATTTTCACTTCTACATAGCTGCATCCTAACTGATTGTAGGTTCGTGCTTTCATTTCCTTTGATGGGGAGCATTTACCAGCTTTCATGTACAGAAGAGAACCACATTCTCGGCAAAGAGTTCAGAAGAAGAAAAATTTCTGTTATCCCATGGCAAGAGAAGAAAGAGGCATTTCTGAATTACAGTCTTCATTTTCCCACCATTACGGTAATTCCTTCTTTACTTTTACAAAAGGCATTCAGCTCACACCAGAAAATTACTTTGGACCAAGAAAAACATGAACTACTCAATTAAACCATTCAGTGGTTTGCTAAGCAACAATACTTACATACCTGCAGTATTTAATGAGACTGCTGTGCCTGCTGTAGGCCAGTTCATTATTGTCCTGTAAATTCACCTCTCAGTCTAAAGGTCTAATCTTATAAAAAGTCCCTACATTTTTCAATGTAGAACATGTCTTCACCCCTCCAAAACTTAACAGGAAACATGGACAATTAATAATTCTTAGGTTTCAATGGCAGGTAAGCGTTTTAACAATACTGGCATACCACACTTTCATGTGACCTGTTCTGTTGTGTTGAATGTTGCTAGTCTTTTTGCACAATCCTGCGTGAAAGTACTAATCTAACTTGAAACAAAAAGGGTTTACAAGGAGGGGATCAAGGCAGATGGCAATAGATTATATTTATTAGATAAGAGCACTGAGATAGTTCCCTAAAAGCAAACAAAATAACCCCAACAAAACCACACAATTAGCTCAAGAATCCTGTAAAACTCCTACTGGCTGGATAGCCTCCTAAAGATCAGAAAGATAAGAAATAGTTCAAACCCTGTACCTCAGGAAAAGTGAGAACATCATCAGAAGATATTGAAGGTGAGCAGATGAGGAGGAAAGTTCTAATGAGACCTTAAAAAATATCGATTGCCAGTCTGACACAGAAAACAGGTATGCTACCTAACATATATGCACACTGGCTTCTTGCATTATGATCACATTCTTTCAGGTTGCAATTTAAGGACAGGAAACAGAGATGAGTAAAGGGCAAGTTCTCACAGTAAAAAGAATTTAGAACAAAGGGAAACTCATACTGTTCAATGTAATTAAATGACTTGAAAGATGAATCAGAAGATTAAAAAATTTACTCATGTAAAAACACTCAGAACTACCAAAAATAAAATAAGCAGACTATGAAGCTCTGCAAAAAGATTGCAGGATATTAAGTAAGTAGGAAATGCAGGTGAAATTCCCTGTCCGTGACTGCAAAGTGATACACGTGGGAGTAGGGGAAAACTCTTGACACATACACAAAGGCTATTACTTTAGTGATTATGACTCAGGAACAATACAATAGAAGTGCACTGGATCGTTCTTTGAATATATGCTTAGTAAAGTCAAAAGGAAACAGACAGTCATAGCCTTAACAGAAGTCCAAACACTCCATCTAAAACTCAGAGTTAATGGTGTGCCTAGTTTTTAAATGGCATCTAAGGTTTCATTCTTCCTGTCTGAAAAAGGATGTAATAATTCAGAAACATTGAAAAGGTGGCAATCATAGCTGGACACATATAGAAACATTCCTACAAGGAACACGGGCTAGGATTCTTTGGTTTAGAATAAGAAGCAATAAAAGGGGATACAAGAGGAGTCTATGAAATTGTAAAAGCTATGCATAAGGTGAAAAGGAAGCTCTCACTGACTGTCTCACACACAGTAACTAGAAGGCACCCAGTGTAACTATCAAGTAGCACACCTAGGATAAACACAAAGTAGTGTTGTTTCCTGTGCAATGAAATCATGGAACTCATTGCCGTGAGGATGTTTTGGAAACTAAATTTTTAAAAAAATATTAAGAAATGGACTAAAAGTTAGAGAGGTATCAACGGCGCAATGGTCCAGACAGAACCTCTGATTTAGGAAGTCCCTAAACCACCTGACTACCCGAAGTAGAAAATAGATGCCTGATGGAAGGGGGAAAAAAAAAACAACCCAAAAAATCACACCACACCCTACACCGTGCCTTACCCTCTTTGAGCAGCTTCCGATAGCCATAGCTGGAGAGACTGAGCATATCATGTAGCTGTATTAACTTCGATTCACAGTAATTGATATGTCATTGCACAAAGGCTGTTTGGTGATGGGTTACCGCTGGCATTTTTCTTGCAGTACACAAATGGTACACACAGAAAAATGTCAGACTTCCTGAGCGAATCAGAAATGATCACAAAGGACTACAGCTCCCAGCAAAATGGGAGCAGGAGCAAAAGCGTGGGAGAATTTAACCTAAGAGGCAGTCACTGGCTCCATGTTCAAGACCTCAGGAAATGATCTTAACAGATCCAGAGAGATCAGAAGAACAGCTAAGCTACTAAACAAAATGTACCGAATTTTCAGATATTAAACAGTTTAGGAGAGTAAATAGAGTCTGTCTGTAAGATACATGTAATGTTTACAAGCAAAATTTAAACATGAATTTAAAATTTCACTTCTTAATTTTCTATCTTGACGTTACCACACATGTATGAAAACAGAGATGCTTGTACAACCATGAAGACTCAGCAGTCTATGGTAGTAGAGAGAATTTATGATTATTCTACTACTTAACCAGAGAGATGACAGCATTTCCTCTATAACCATTTATAATGTATAGTTATAAGAAATATATAAGAACCTCTAATGAAACACATTCCAGTAATCTTTCAACACCAGAAATGTAAAGCTGCTGGCACTGAAGTACCAATTCTCAAAGAGGTTGTTCTAAAAAACACTGAATCTGTGCAACAGCTTGGCAGCAAAAGGAGTGAGGACCTGAAGGCAGCAAGTATTATTCATGCAAAAATAGAACAAACAATGGCATTTCAATATTGGATCAGTATCCCCTTGCCCTTTATTTAAATATCCACAGGCAAGACAAAATGTAATGTTTTAGCTATAACCACTTTTCCCCAGACATCATTTTTTCTTGCTCATGTATAATAAAAAAGACTCTTAAAACAGACAGCAATATTAGCAGGCCAAGCTTCAGTGTATTTTTGCTGAGCTTTTGTAAGAATTTTATTGGTAGGAGCAGTGAATGATACTGGAAATAACTTATTAGAAAACATTAATTGAGAAAGTGACATTTTATTAAACGTAATACAGCTCATGTCATTAAATTCTTACATTAGATCCTGTATTATGTTAAAAGTCTCTTCCATCTTTTATTGTTCTTTGTAAAAACGTACCAACCGTACTTCTACATACAAGATCCAGATAGTACACCATAAGAATGTACAAAGGACTGTTTCTGCCTGTCACAAGAAGCTCACCATGTCTGTGACTCACGTCCTTAAACAGACGCACAACCCAAAGTTCATAAATGAGTTAAATGAGGGTTGTGCATAGGTGTCGTGTTTTGCCTTTACGGATGCCTTGAAAGACCGAGGACAAAACTTTATAAGAAACAATGCAAAAAAAATTTTGAACCAGTGACTGGAATAAATGACAAGCTCATATGGAAAGCAGAATGAGTATTAGCTCAATAATAATTAATACTATGACTTTGAAATTAGAGAAAGGTTTATACAATGTGCAGGACTACTGTAAGCCCAAAGTGTCTTTCACCAAGAAAATTTCAGATTGGAGCCCTACTGCAGACACCCAGCTGCTGAAAGCGTCTGTGCAGTTCTCCAATAAGATCACTTAAATTTTACTCATCAAACGCCAAATCTTCAACAGAAATTGCAATGCAATGATACTTCCAGTAAGTGCTAGAAACGTCTTCATCATCTGTTGTCCACTGACTCCAATTCCAAACTGCTCCCAGGCCATGGCGGGGAAGTCTCCCTGACAATAGCCCTCAACAGCACTCCAGAGCATCCTTTCCACATCTGACACACATTGTCTTCTGAGGCCATCACATTTTTTTGCTATAATGCCTTATCATCATCATTCTTTAATTAAGAAGATATCTATTGAAAATGATTTTATGAATGAGCTGCAAACTAGTCATCCTGATTTTTGGATCACAGTTGGAGAATCCTTATCTGAAAGTACAGCTCTTCCACCTATTTTGTTTTGAACTTTATCTAAGTGACAAGTTACCTGTTGCCATTCACCTGTATCAATGGCTGCAGAGCATTTGCTTATATGTGTGTTAAGGAAGTGTTTAAAGGTATTTGCTGCTTTCTGATCCTTTGGCAATGGCTAACTCTACAGGGCAAGCTAGCTCCGAGGATGACCCTTTCCTCCTGTAACTACAGAATCAGTGTAAATTCCATACAAGAGAAATATAAGGTAGATCTAAAACAAAAGGATCTGATCTTTGAATATTTACAATGCTTGAGCCTGTATCTAATTATTTGCTTGGAGTCACATTGTTGAAATATTGAAGTCAACACAAATGACTTACCCCTAAATTATATGGGAGTTTCTCTTGAGCTTTACAGATATGGGCTCTTTGGTTTTGGTTAAAAGTACCCCACACAGTCATCACAGCAGCCTATGAAATTACTTTTTGCAGGCCACCCAGATTCCACAGTTGTCTAGGGAAGTGGGAAAAATAATGCATAATTCAACTACATCAAAGAAAATCTTTTTTTCCTACTGGAAGGTATTTAAGTATGTGCTAGGCTTGAAGGATAAGAGCACACTTAAAAGGATAGGGGTTAAGACCATCTCAAATACTTAAACTTTTCAAATAACTAGTATCTTGCTGAGTCAGGTGCAAGTTGGACAGATAGTACAGTATGCCATCAGAAATGAAAGAAGACAGGAAAATAAGTGCTCTTAAAAGCTCTTACTTATATGCTTGCATATGCTCATATACATAGGCTTTCTTTGTACGATGTACACATCTACCTAATTCTTTTTAATGAGTTCATTAATATAATTCCAATTTGTAAATTAAGGGAATGTTTCTAACTTTTGAATAAATTTTACCTTTAAGTCTAAAATAAGCAAGTGTACTTTATGAATATCACGCTTTTGTGTAAATTCATTTAGCTTATAATAACCTGGGACATAATCTAAGAATTCAATGCAAAAATCATTGCACTCATTAAAGATATATAGAAAATAAACATTTTGACAACATATATTTTGCACTCATCATTTGTTTTTTATCCAACCTTACGTGTTGGGGCAGCGAGCTAGAAACTGTTACTTAAACTGGAATTTGTGCCAGGAATCTAATTCACAACTTCTGAGTCAGCTCTCCCACCCTCGCTGGATCTTCAAAAGCCTCAAAACTAACATAGTGTGCACTTACTCTAATTAACAGCTTTTCTAGTGGCTGTGGATTTCAAATACAAAAACACAAAGCACTTTCTTTTAGCACAGAGAAGGATATCTAGAGACTACCTTTCATTCTTTCCTGAGGACTGCATGTTACAAGTTGCTGAAGAATAGTATCATTGCGCCGGGAAGCAGCTGCGAAGTTATGACTCCCGTCAAAGGTTGATTTTTGAAAGACTCCCTGGTCTGAGCGTTCCTAAGGGAAAGACAGAACCACATATTGTAACAAAAAAATTAAATGTTCAACAATGCAGAAGATCAGCCGTCACTACAGACAGTGCATAAATACAGTGTAATGTAATGTTCACTGTACATTGCTTCATTTCAAATGAGAAACTTGAAAGATATCTTCAAAATTACTATCTTTTTTTGCTGACCATGAAATAAGACAATATCTAAGCAATAACAATCATTAAGAATGATGCACAAAAATGAAGACACTTTTTTTTTTTTTATGACCCACAACTGGCTTCATTCAAATTCTCCATCTGGGAGGGCAGCTTGTGACATTGTCAACACAAGAACATGGGTAATGCCAATGGTATTTTTCTGCCAGCCAGCTGGTTCCCTTCTCTCAGAGACTGAGTGCATATGTTCTGATGATCACACACTAGCGCAGTTTTGCAAGTAAGGAGTTACACCAAACTCCCAAATGCAGGTCTTCTGGCTAGCAGCTAAACAAACTCCTGTCACACCTCTAGTCAGCTTTTCTTTTGAGACATCCTCACCCACCCCCCATACATGCCATATCGCTTAATTTATTCTCCTGAGCAGTTGCTCAAAAGAAAAAAGGGGGAGAAAAAATCATCACAATTTCTAAAACTGGGACAGACCCAGAAAGACATTTCTGTACTCGTTGTTCAGGGAAAACAGAAAACCTGCACAGGGGAATATTATGGCTAGTTTTCAAAATAACCTTTATAGTTTCTGTGAATTTATATCTGTTTTTTGAAGGGGCCTCCAACTGGCTTCTATTTTTAAAGTGCATGTTCATTATGCCAGCAAATGTTACACTAAACATATAATTCCTTAAATTTCATAGTCACATCTACAGAAGAAATGCATGTGTCTAACCCATATAATTTCTTTGTAAAAGGATGCAAGAGGTTTAATGCATTGCAAGTGATTGCCTGCAAACCAACGCATAAGAAAGGACGGAGTCTTACATCACCTTGCAACCTGCCTTCCAAGCTTAATAATAATGATAAAAATAATAAAAATTAAAAGTAAAATGATAGAATAATAACAATAAATAACTAATAATAATAATAAGGCAAAAAATGCACCTCAGAACACAAATCAATGCTGGGATGCTCATGGTGACAATATGGCTACAAATGTAGTCTCAGTGGACAGGCAACACATGCAACATTCTCTCCTCCTCCGTGCAGCACGAGCCATTTGAAAAGGCTATTTTGAACCTCTGTACAGAAACACACACACCACACAGCCACTGACAATTATGTTTCTTCTCGTTACTGGAAATTCTTTAGTTTACATAAGATTCCTTACATCGTGAGGTCCACATTTACTACTTTCTCATGGATACTGCTAGCTAAATTAAGCCTTGCAACATCCAAACTACTACTACATTGGAGACTTGTACCCAATGGGATAGGGAGCCTTAAATTAACAGCAACAACAAATCTGCTTTTCCAGCTCCTTGATAAATGACACAATCAATATCCCAACAACTGATCAGTAACCAGTCTAATTAGAGTATTCAGCTTATAAAACATAGCTGTCATGGAAGACCTCCATTAGTGTCCTGACCAATAAAAACAATAATGCATTTATAAATGTATTCTCCTTCTACCAAGCTGAGATGCAGTACTCAGGAAGCTGTTTTGGGGAAAGGGAAGAATGGGCAACAACCCATTTCTGCTATGGTCTCCAGACTCAAATGGAATTACAACTGAACCTAAAGACTACCCTATAAAAATTAATTCCTGTCTAAAATGAATTTGATTCAATCAAGACCTCATTATGCATTCTTCATAGGGCATGAGTCAAGATTATTTACCTCTTTCATACATCTGGATAATATACAAAACTATACACTTAACTATCAAAAGCAGCTTCATACTTTTATTAGGTCAATCTGATGTTTGATTGGAAGTTTTTTTTAAAAAATTTGGCTTTTGTTAAATGAAGAAAACTTGCAGGAGCTTTATTTGAAGGTGAGCTATCTTTCTTACGTCACAAGAGCACACAATAAATATAACGTATACTTTATAATTCTTCCTTACAGCATAATGCTATGTCACATAGAAAAGGAAAGCAAAAATGTGTTTTCCTCTAACATATTCCAGAATTGCTAATGAATATTCTTCATATTTTCCTGGCATGACTGACATCAGTGAGGCTTTTGCAAAGTGTCCTCCCACCAAAGTTAGAGCATAATGTTCGGAAAGTAATATACATCTAAATCTATTTCTCAATCAATCAATGATGGTAGTAAATAAAATAGAAAATTGTCAGGAAAATATTAAGAGTTAATTATGCTAAAAGATACCTGTATTCTCTTCCCCCCTCTGATATTTTATGCAAATACACCCACAAACACGATTGTTCTTAACATTTTAAAATGTTCCAGCAATGCTTATTAAAAAAGAAGCTTGAAATCATCTCTTGGAATTCTGTAATGGGATTTATTACAACCTTTTATACCACAAATCCACTTGTATGTATTTTTATTTTAAGAAACTGTACAGATGTTGAAAAACTATTAAAATATTTACTCAAGGGTCAAAATTAAAACTGGGGTGAGTAGTAAGGGCAGCCAGTATACGTACATACATATTATCTTTTTAAAGATAAAGAAAGAGT